TGGAAGCGTGACCAATACAGACTGAACAGCTTTGTTCACTTCCTCCGATGCCACCGCTGAAACTACAGGCAGACTACAAGTTTAAAACAGAGCAGAAAATGGATGTCATTGTTCACAACTTCTTCTGTTTGCTGATTGGCCTGTTAGAAAATAGGAGGAATCCAGGTGAATGGGGAAAAAACCCAGATGGAGCAATGAAGGGAGATGAGAATGGGGTAGGAAGGCGATGGCCAAGCTAGTTTTGTGATATCATCTGGCATTACAAAACCACACATGCTGTGTTTCCATTGACAATAAAATAATGCAAATTGGAATTCCGAAAATAAATCCGCTACATGGAAACACGGCAATTAAAAAAAAAAAAAAAATTCCAGTTTTTCAACGTGATGGTTTTTCGACTACATCTAAATATACAACCGAAATAAAATAAATCTAAATAACAAAATAAAACAAATAAAAATAAATTGAAATGAACAACCAAATGTTGCTACTGCCAGAAAAGAAAGAAGACCACGGGAATGGTACGAGGATGACGGCGCAGCACGTTTTTCTAATGGCTTACTGCATGAACAGACTGATTCACGTGTGACTTTAATTGCATTTCTTATTTAGTGGAAACACCACAATTGCAAAATTATGATTTTTTTCGACATCAACAGATAATCAACAAAGTTCTGCACATATCTGTAAGGGAATAAAGCTGCAGTTGCTGCAGATTTGTCAGCTGTACAACCATGAGAATCTCCCCACATACCCAGGGTGCTCCGGTGGATTTAGATTGGACAACTGTGGAGGCAATCGGAGTTCGGTGAACACATCGTCACACCCAAGAAATCAGTTTCGTGTTGCTTAAAACATTCTGACCCTGTCATCTTAATATTGTGAATGTTGGCGCTGGAATCCAGACTCGTTCCTCGTGGGAACATTTTCCCAGTCTGTCGTCTAATTTTGGTGAGCAACGTGTGAATTCCAACCTCGGCTTCCTGTTCTTAGCCAACCAGAGTGCCAACCCGTGTTGCTGCTGGAAGGCTTGACGCCTTGTGAGATGGTATCTTCCTCCACTCTGGGCTGTAATGAGTAGTTATTTGCTTCATCATCTCTAATCAGTCTGCACAGTCTCATCTCTTATCTCTCATCTGACATCAACAAGACTTTTCGTCCACACCTTTGCCGCTCACTGGATGTTTTCTCTGAGAACCTAAATGATGGTTATGAATGACAAACAGTTTCAGCTGAATACACGGTTGAGAAAATTGAGGAAAAACAAGCAATGGAAGTGATATGCCTATGAAAGCGGACAGTGAATCTGAGTTGGTCGATTGCTTGGCTACTCTATGGAGAACATAAAGAGCAATGGTACGAAATGAGTCGCATGCTCAAAAGCGAGTTTGAGCTTTTTTTAACAAAGTCGTTAAAAAAAGCTCGGTGCGCCACGATCGGCCTACCACTTTCTGCCACCGTCTTTTTCATAGTTTGCGCCAGTGGCAACATCCGCTTGTTGATCACGTGATGCGAAAAAAAGTGCTTACGTTGCAGCTTTGAGAAATAAACCACTTTCAATATGGCCAAAAATCGAAACATCCAAATTCATTTTTGCAAAGTCAAATTGCGCCATAAGATGGTCAATGGAAACGCATGTAGTGTAATCCTTACCCTTGAATTTTAAGTACCTGTTTAGATTTTACTTCTATGTTGCAAGAGTCACTTACTATTGAACTAAGTGGTAGGAAGCTGGTTCTGTTGCTTTAAAATAACCAACCTCAACTTTTTATTATCTTGTATTGTAACCTGTCAGATAATGCACCATTTGCAAGGAGTTCTTGCTGGACTTTCAGTATCTCTGTCATCAGTAGTTGTAATCTCCATTGCATGAGTTACAATCATCTGTTAGTAAAACTGTTAGAAAGGTTGTATTTAAAAAACAAAACAAAAACAAAACCACAAATGCTGATGGATCAGTGTTGAGAACAAAAGGCTGCAAACACATTTTGCTCAAAGTAGCGAATAGTTTCAGGTCATATGATGCTGGATTTAGACTACCTAGCTGCCCTTTGTGACTCAAAGACACACACACACACACACACACACACACATACACACACACACGCATGCTGGCTTTGGCAAGCAGAAACAGTATAGGGTGTACACACTGGCCTTTCTGGTGGGCCAACAACAGGCTAGTATTACACACAGGTCATCACTATCATTACCGCAACAGACCTGCATAAAAACAGGACGAATGTAAACGTGATAAATGGTGAAAAAATACTGCTTATGACTGGAGATGATATAATATTTATTAACATCAGGCAATAAAACAAAAGCCTCATAAAACGTGTGCGTATTTGAATGTGACAGAGCTCCATATTTACTTTTTATGGTCAACCTTGGAGTTCATGATGAGTCTTTGTTGGTCCTGCACCGCAGGTCGTCGGTCTCGGGCCCGACCATGACAAAAATGGTGTTCAGCCAGCATTTCTATTCGTATCTCAGATGTTATCGCTTCCTGGAACGCCGTGGTAAAAAAAATGTTAATAACTTCTCCAGCACTTAGGAATGTATGCCTGTCATTTTTTGTCCACCAAATGTTTTCTGTAAATTCCACTAAAGTCACCTGTCAGAACAGATTGTGCTTTTTTGCGAGAGGTGTTCCCCTGTCTCAGTTTGGGGATTTTACAAGAAACAAACGGGCAGAAGAAAAGCAGAAGTCAATACCCTGCTTGAGATAAGTTTTCTAGAAGTCTGAAACAATCAGCAGTGTAATATTATTTTTGTGTTTTTGTTACGTGAACAAAAAATCATTTTGAAAATTCACCGGCTGAATCCTCACATGCCATCGATAAACAGTATAAAAACTATTTTAAAGTAAGCAGAGAAAAGACGAACAGTTTGCTTATCTAGTTCATCCAATCAAAACGCTTGCTGACTTTGTGAAAACAGATAATTCCCCTTTCACACGTGCATAACTGGCTGGCCTTTTAACATTTCAGGAAGTTATGATTGTCTATGTGACACTGGAGGATGCGAGTTGTGAATTCTAGACTGCTACAGATATTTCACACAAATGGCTGTCAAAGCTTTAAAATGCAACATATCACATATAGTTCACTCTAACTGAGGCCAATGCTAATTAAATGTTCCAACAGTAACCCAACAATGACTGTATTTATGCTTCTATATTGGGGGAAATTGATAAAGATTCACTCACCTCAGCATTTCGAGTGCTTGAAGTGGCTCCTATTGATGGCAGCTTGAAATTTATTATACTTGGGAGCAACGACAGACTGTTTTTGGCTCGTCAAGGTTTCGTTGGGTGATCATAAAGTAAAAAATAAATAAATAAAACTAAATGAGCTATTTACATCACCTCAAAAAGAATGTGACAATGTAAACTGCCATTTTCTGAAGCGATTTTGTTCTGTTGCACCGTGAAGGAATGAAATCGTGAAATGTTGCTTAGGATTTCACAAAAAATTCTCCTGACTGTCTTCGGGGTCACCATGATGTTTTTTTTTGGGGCGGGAAATGTGCGATGTACCTTTCTGAGTTTTATGAACAGCAGCGGTCTTTCCCCTTTAACCTCTACCATGAACTTAACCAAAGCAAGAGAGGCCTGCAGAATTTAGCTCTCTCAAAAACTGGTTTACTGGAGTCCCAAACCTGTTTCCAAACAGTTTAGTGTTGGTTATCTCCTTTCTCATCTGCTATTGAATTTCTTTTGATTAGAGCATAATGTGTTGCTGCAGGCCTAGCAATAATCAGGCTGAAATGTGGCGAGAGATATGTAAATGTGTTTAAACATGGCTGATTTGTAATTGACCAAAGGGGAGGATGTGGTTATCTTCACCCAGGTTATGTAATGAAACATTTAAATGTGACAAAAAAAAGAAAAGAAAAGAAACAAAAGAAAAAGCAAAACACTTTTTCACTACACTTAATATAAATAACAAATCATCCAAATTTAGAGCAGAGTTGGGACAGTTCTGATGCAGCGGCTTAGATAACAATAAATAAAAAAAATGTTGAGAGCCGAGTATTTAACAAACGGATTATTGGTTAGCATAATCAATCGCAAACATACACAGTAATCTGTTTGACTTTCACGTTTTAATTTTCAACATGGAGCTTCTCAACCAGAACAGCAGGAAACTTCGAGAAGCTCATATGAAAAATAAACAAACTTAAATCAGAAGTGAAAAGTGGCACAAACATCCAAACTTGAGAAGTTTATTTTTGCTGATTTGTGAGTCGGTTGACTCTCTTCTTTTTTTTTTCACTTCTGTGTTCGGTTCTGGGCCTAAACTGTGATTATGAAACGCGATAGCATCTCATTACAAGCTGGGTTTCCTTTGTGTCCAACAGCACAGGCTTTCATGTAAAAACCTTGGCAAAGTGTGTCGGGTTTTGAGTTTTCTTGAAAGTGTTTGAAAAGAAAACCGATTGTACTTTATGAGAGTCCGTCTTCAGACTCAACGGTTTCAGTCCAAAGCATTGTTTAGCACAGCCAAACTTGTTTGCATGCTTGTGTGCTTTTTATGTGCTTGTATTCAGGTTCCTAAAGACTCGAGACTCTGGTTTGCATTTGGAAAAAAGAAGAAGAAAGAAAAGAAAAGCAGAACACACCTAAAAACAACCAGTTTAAATCGAAAGATGTAAAAATGTTTACTTGATACGCTCCTGTAATTTGGCTAATGCCAACAAAGAGGGAATTTGCAAGACGTGTAAAAAAAAAAAAAAAAAAAAAAAGCCTTAAAGATGCAGAAGATAAATCGATAGAGTTCATGAATGAATCCCGAACCAACATGCCGGCTGTCCTCAAAGTGACTGACCCGGACGCGTGAACCAAACTGCACCACCGGCCGCCTCTGTGCCAGCTGGAGAACAGAGCTAGCCGGGCTCAGATTCACGGCGGGCCAACGTGCTGCCAGCGAGACCGGCTTCCCTTCACTTCAGCATCGCAACGTACAAAGCGCTCTTTGTGTTTGCGAGAGCAGGAGAAAAAGATGGACGGAGAGAGGAGAGAGGGGTGGAAGCAGAGTGTAGAGGCAGGAAGGTGGAGGCCTGAGGGCGGTTTCGCAAGGAGAGGAGAGAGAGAGAGAGAGAAGAGAGCAAAGAATGGGACGACGGTGGGGGCGCTCCGCTTAAAACAACAGGAAACTGAGTGAGAGCACCTGACGCTGACGGTGAGCATCAAGGGCCGCGCCACGTGCCGCTAAACTGCAGCCAAAGCTCATTTCTGAGGCGGCGGTGCTGCTAGCGATGTGCAGAGGGGTGTGTGAGCTCCGGCTAATCTCTCTTTAAAGTGGATATCCTGCTCAATGCTGCTTTTGTTTCTGAGGCCTGCTTTCACAAGGACATACAATCCCTTGTGTCCACTCCTCCCCTCCTCCTCTCTTTGTCCTACTTGGCGTTTTATCTCCGTTGTTCACTGCACACGCCTCCTTTCATGAAACCCCTATTAGGGTTTTATGGGGTTTTAGTAACTTTGTCTTGACGTGTCTGTGCGACGCCGAAGGCCTGTGCGCGCGCTTCGAGTACGTCAAATTCTTACACTCGTGTCCATGTGTTGAACGGACACAGAAATGTACATATGTCTCGCTTGGAGGTTTAAGTCAGCCGCAAATTGTTGGAGAACGGCTTTGATGCTCGACTTTGAAGAATATTCATGTTTTCCTCCCATGAATATGTGGCGTTAAGGGGTTGGTAACTCAAGCTGGCTCAGTTTGCTTCTTTATATGCTCTGTGCTTATTCAATTATTACTGCATTAAGCTGAAACAAAAAAAAACAAAAAAAACTTACAAATGAGACATGAGCAACCAGAGAGGCTTTAATGTCCAGAATGGACAGAAGAATGAATTTGGCTTAAACGACGTGCTTTATTTCTTAAAGTGACCTCACTTTTGTTTAATGGGAAAGTATAAAATGGCAACCTTGAGTAAAAATAACAGTTTCAAAGTTACTTTGTCATTTACTAAATAATGTACAACATCAGCCAGTATGTTTTTTAATCACAAAAGCAGCAATTTTCCCAACTTCTCCTAAAATAACATCAACATTACAGTTCTAATAATATTTTGTTTATTTTAATTAAGAATGTGATACTAAGTTTTAAATGGGCAATATTTTATATTTCATAGCACAATAAAATATAAAACTATGTTACCCTCATATATCCAATATCCACTTTTGGAAATGTGTGGGAAGAATCATTCACATGTTAACCAACAAAACATTTACAATATTCAAGTATTTTTGAGCATTTTTAATACTTTTCAGTGTAACACATGAAAATCTGCAACCAGCTGCAGCTTCTATCTTTTTATTTTGTTGCTTCACAAACATGTAAACAAGAGTGAGTTTAAATGTGTGATATAATTGCTACTGCAAAACAAAACTGAGAAAGAGAAGAAAAAATAATTCTATAACAATTCTGGTTTATCGAAGGCATAAAAATCAGATGGGTTATGTAATAATGAGCTGTTAAAGACTGATTATCTGGGCCTTAAAAAATAATTTAAGGCAAACAACCTTTTTTTTCTCATCAACACTAAAAAAAAAAAAAAAAAAAAAAAATCTGCAACTTTAAAGAGCCGAGAATTATGAAACTCAAAGTGTTTGTTATCTTGCGGACTTAGTGAAGTATTGCTAAGAAAGGCTGGAATGAGGCCAAGGCTCAAACAAATGGGAAGAAAAATACAAAAACAAACTCCGCTACCCATTACCATCCATTACAGATGAAAGGCGTAAACCAAAATGCCATCAATCCATAAACACTTTAACCTCCTCCAACCTTTTTCTAGGAAGCTGTCACCACATGGAGCTCCTCTGGTCCCGTTACCGAAGCGCTCGGAGCACTTAAGATGGTTTTTAGTATGTAAAGCCAAGTAAACACACTGGGGGTAGGAGGGTGTGTGTGCGTGTGGAGGGGAGTGTGTGTGTGTGTGTGGTGGGGGGGGGGGGGGGGGAACGAGGGAGAAGAATAAGAAGTTGCCTGAAGGACGCTTTGTCCTCAAAGCC